AGAAGCAGCCAACAGACGTAGCACTACTGTGCCTCTGACTGTGAAAGACCTGGGCAGGTAGAGTAGGAGGTATATGGGTCAGTAAACAAAAACAAAACAGACAGGCCCACAACCAGATCCACAGAAGTAGTATGTGCGATCCAAGTCACAGCTCCCTTCCCATCAAAAGAGCAAATCCCTGAGAAAGCAGCCAGCCTGTGGCAGAAAATAACTGAGAGAAGCGGCTGGAATACAAGCCTAAGGGATACGGAGAGAAAAACAACTCCTGTCAATTAGTTCTATGCCTAATCTAGGAATTCTAGGAATCCTAGACTAAGAGAAAAGAAATGGGATGGAGGAGTTCTGAAGTCCCAAGCATCCCTAGAATGTTCAGAGCCCAGATAGGAAAAGAAATAAAGAACCCAAGTAGTCAGGAAAGACAGAGAAGGAAACATTCTAGTTCCTCACCATGGCCCCTATTTGGTTCTGAGTTGAACCTGATTAAAAAAGAAAAAGCAAAAGAACTATAAACAACTCCACAATCTTTCCAGTACTTTCTTAAAAGTTAAGTATTGAGCATCACAAATGTAAATATTAGGGGAAAAATGCTCTTTAAAAACCATGCGATAGTGGCAGGTATAACACTACCTCCAAAAAAGTGGGGTGGAGGAAGCAACTGACCATGAGACAAACCCAGACACTAGTTCTGCCTCCAGCACAGCAAGGCACATGATTAGCAGCTTTTTTAAATCTGTCAAGAAGATATAGTACATACACATCTGACTTCTTCACCACGGAGGGCATTCAAATGAGATGTGAACACACACACACACACACACACACACACACACACACACAACATATAAAAGTGAAATATAAGGCATTATCATAGTCTCCAAAAACTTTTTTACCTTTGGGAAACCATTCACTGTATGTTGAGGTTTGAGCTAATCTCTATAAGAAGAATTCAGTATCAGGCTTCGTCCTAAAGTGTTTCTCCATATGGTGATAGCAATCTCCAGAAACAAGAAGAAAGGTGAAAACCTATTCCACTAAGCTGGGTTCCTCAGAAACCAGAGTAAAGGTTGCTGCACCACATCTTCTAGGAATTGATTTAAAACTTTTCTGCTTCCTGAGCTGTGTCGTAAATATATAAAATCTGTGGTAAATCTGACACTGGATTCATCAATTCACAAAATCAATGTATTTAAAAGAAAAAGAAGAGACATGAGACATTTAACCCATTCTCACCAGCTCAAACCACTGTTGGTACATGCATGACTGCCCCATTGGGCAGGACAAACATTTGTGATTTTATTAGTCTTTTTAACTAATAAGACTAATAAAATTCATAAAAAGCTTCCCCAGTGGGACAGACATACATGTACCACCAGTGGTGCAAGCCACCTAGCAGCGAGACTTACAAATAACAGCCCCACCGTGAGATGTTAAATACAAGCACAGCAAGAATTTCCAGTTAAATTCGGGTTGCTAGAATGAATTACTTCCATCGCATACAAAACAAACAGCAAATCACTTAGTTATTAAGAGATATATCGTGACTCACCTTCTTTAATCATAAAAAATATTTTAAAATAACATTATACATAATAATCCATAATATATTTGCTCGGGTAGAATTTTTTTCAGCGTAGCCCTTCTATTTTGTGAGAACAATCTGTATGTTGAAACATCAATGATGATTTAATTGCTTTCAACAAATGCAATGAGATTGTGGTGAAGAGTTTAGACGTCAGCATGAAAAGAAAGAACAATAAAAGGAAAATAGACTACAAACTCACAGGTTCATTCCCCAATTTTCACACAGCAAACTCTAATAAGTGTGAGAATCCCGTATGTGAAATGTTTGGAACTAGAAGTGTTGCAAATTTTGGAGTTTTTTGAATTTTGGAATATCTGCATAGACTTTACTGTTCAGTATCTTTACCCCAAAAATCCAAAATCTTCTTAAATCTGAAACTCTGGGTCATAGCCAGATTTTAGACTTTCTGTTAGGGAAGCTCAACAGTACAACTAATAGCAACCTCGGGAGACAGAAGTGTAGGGTTTTTTAAATCTGTCAAGAAGCACAGTACAGACACTTGTTATGCAAATATTAGAAAGGAATAAATAGAAAACATTTATTCTGAATGTAGCTGGTACATTTTAAAGCTAAGTCTCAGTAGAGTACATAAAAGGTGATTTAATTTCACAGCTCTGTCTTCTCAGGAATTTGTCCCCTTTTTTTATTTTAAGGAGAGGGTTCTGGCCAAGTATTCAAAATATCTACTGCAACTCCCCTCTTCTGCTCTCAATCCCAATTTTTATTTTGGAAAATGTCAAAACAAAAGTTTAAATAGTACCACAAACACCTTTAATATGCTGCTAACACCTTCCCCATTAGTCTTGTCCTACAGCGTAGTTCAATTCACAAGGAAGCTGCAAGCTTTACCTCCAAGTGTTTCAGCATGCATCTCCCAAGAACAAGGACAAACAGACATAACCATAATACCAATCACACTCTCAAAATAGCTAACATCAGGACAGGCACAGTGATACATGCTGCAATCCGAGCTACTTGGGAGGCTGAGACAGGAGGATTGCAAGCTCAACACCAACATGAAAAACTCATAATGCAAAAAGAAAAAAAAAAGTCTTTTAAGGGGCAGGAGCTGGCATGGTGGTGCACACCACCCAGCACTTAGAGGCTGAGGCAGGAGGATCACTGAGTTTGAAGTCAGGTTGGGCTACACAGTGAGCTCAAGGCCAGTTGAACTGCATAGTGAAAGTCTGTCTCAAAAAGACCAAAAAAAGGTGGGTAAGGGGCTGGGAATATAGCTCAATAGTAGACTACTCCTGGATTCAAGGCCAGTACAGGGAGAAAAAAGAAACTGAACATCAATATATAATCTCTAATATATAATCCAAATTAAAACATTTCTAATTGTTCTAATAATTATGACTGCTATGACTGCTTGCTTTTTCATATTTCCAATCCAGGATCTTATATTTAGTTTTATTTCTTAGTTTCACTTATTATTAAACAGACTTTCTATCTTCTTTTGGATTTCATAATATTGACATTTTTAAAAGAAGCTTGGTCAAAATGTTGTTTGAATATCCCATGATTTGGATGTCTGAATTTTTTTATTATTAGGTTCAGATTAGTTAAGCATTTGAGGATGAAAGTAACACTTTGACGTTGCGTCTGCCTCAGCCCATTATCTCAGAAGGTGAACAATTTAGCTCGTTCCATTAAGGGCAGACCAAGCTTGATAATTTGAGAAAAGTGGCATGTGAGACACTTCTCCACTCTAAAGGTGGGAAAACTTAAATAATTGTGAGATTGTTTGGATACATGTTTCCTAACAGCTTTTTGTCCAGTGGCTTTTGTATCAATTGATGATCCTGACTAAATCATCAACATAGTGATCACAAATGGGACTAGTTCTAGCCTATCCCTCCAACTGCAGCTATTAGCTAACTACTCTTTTGTAGCATCACTGTGGAACTGGGTATTTTTCACTTCTTAACATATTACTATTCTTTTTTGATATTTAAACTGCCCCCCCCCCAACTGCCCTGGCTCTTATGTCTTTTTGTGAAGTTAGCATCAATTTTCTTTTTGGGGGCGGGGGGGTTTCCGAGGATCAAACTCACGACTTTGCGTTTGCCAAACAGGCATTTACGCCGCTGAGCTAAAAGCCTGTATAGCTGTTGCATTTCTTTTCTTTTTTGGTCCCGGGGATCAAACTCACAACTGCAGGCTCATAAGTCTTATGCCACTTATGCAATCCCTGATCCAGCATCAATTTTTGAGAATGTCTTTGCCTTATTCTTCCTGTGCCTATGAAAATCACCCCTTCACAGAGTCCTGGCTATCTGTAAGGAGAGAATATAGCATTAAAAGACCAAAATCTGGATTTCGGCTATGCTCAATGAAACATCATCGCCTCTGAGCCCTTTCAGTTGGCACAGCCAGGACACGTATTTCTAAAACAACTCATGAATTCCTCTGCAGATCAATAAGAAAACATTAGATAATCCAAACAGAAATGTGAAGTTTTGTTCTCACTTATGATGTAGGAAAGCTACAAAAAAACAAAAAAAAACCCACCTTATTCCCACACTAAAATAAGAAGACTACAATGTACAAAATCCTATCTTTTATTAAGCCAGTCAGAGAGCTGACACACAGATCATCACATGACCTGAATTATGAAGAGAGATGGGACGTGAGAAAGGTTCACCCTTGGTAGGATATAGAGAAAGAGGCAGCCATGCTATACACAGATAAGATAAAATCGGTCACTGTCCTCAGTACTTTATGAGCTCTTAAAACAACCACAGGGGGAGAGGAATGGTTTGTGATTATCTGTGGCCCAAAGGTAACCAATAAGATTCTTCTACTTTAGAAAGAGATATAACAGAATAAAGCTATAGTCCCAGCCCTTGTTTTATTCTGAGATAAGGTCTCACACAAAAAATGCCCAGCTGGCCTCAATTTGAGATCTTCCTGCCTCAGCCTTCAGAGTAGCGAAAGTGAGAAACATGAGCCACCATACCTAACTAGGAATTCTAACATATAATAAAGAGATTGGGGTAAGGTTTAAAAACTCATATACCACAAGGGAACAACATATATTCAACAGGACCGCACTACGCACTTAAAAGGCTGAAAAGGTAAATTTTATGACATACAATCTTGCATCACAATTTTCAAACTTGTATTTTGGTAGCACTGGGGATTCAGTGCAGGGCTTCATGCATGCTGGGCAAGCTCTCTACTAATGAGCTACGAGCCCAGCCCTTAGCACAAATTTTTTAAAAAGTAGGATCTTAAGCATATTCATTATTGATTAGAAATAGAACTAACAGGTAAACTTTCTTCTCTAGGGACAAACACTTGAGCTAGGAAGGGAAAAAGGACAGTGTGTCTAATAAAATTGCATTTAAATGGCTACGTTTAACACATGTGCATTGCTGTGATAATTTTTTTTCAAAATCTAAAGAGACTTCACCTTGATCTGCAGGACGTCCAGTGGAATGGTCTCCCCCTTCAGGATGGCGAGAGTGGCATCTGTAATATGTCTAGAAGGGAACAGAAAGGCAATGAACGCATCACAGAAATGAGCAGCACCTCCCCACCTCACCCATGGTCTGGCCCGGAACACTAGGAGCTGGGTCTGGAAGAAGACAGTCTCCCCAAAATAGCCCAAGAACACAAAAGAGTAGAAAAGAATTACCTAAAGAAATACGGTAGAGGCGCTGATACAGACCCAAGGAGAAGGCTATGGCAAGGAAAAGTTCATACATAACATCAAGCATTTATTTAACATCTGTTGAGTCTCTCCATTGGGCCTGACTCATATTTATCATTGAAAAAATATATTTATATACATAATAATAATATCTTTAATTCATTTTATCAACGCAGGCACTTCAAAAAGTGATGTTTATTTTGTACTCTAACAGTCAGAAGGGTAACTGAAGACAAGATTTGTTGCTGCTATCATAGCAAAACATAATCCAGAACTCACAACATATTTCTTTTATTTCCAATATTACTAGGATGTGTGGCATTTTAACTGCTGACTCCTTCATTCAGTCACGAAACTATTCTTATCTACATTCTTAGAGACTTCTGACAAGTCCATAGATAAAAATGTACTTATCAAAGGCACATTCTATTGACATCCATCCCGAGCATATGAAACTATGCCAGGCCTTACAAGCAGTCCTACAGTTGGGACTTCAACTAGATCTGAGGTTAGACACACGCAAACGTAAGCAGACAGTCCCCAAAGCAGCGTTCCACCAACCATGCTCCACAAAGAAGTCCTTGCTCTCAGAGCACAGAGAATGAGCACATCCACTTTAAGCCCTTCCTCACACAGCCTGTCTGTCCCTTCTCCATCTGGCTGCAGTCTCTGCTAGGTCGGCTACTTTCACCCTTCAGCTCTTGACTGAACTATTCCCTTCTCAGAGGGGCCCAGCCCACCCAGCCCATCCAGAGGTAGTTCCTTCCCTGTTACGTATTCTCCACCAACACACCATTCACACCCCTTCGGATCATAGCTTATAACACACTATTTCTTTGTTTATTTTACCACGTTTCTCCCTGGAGACTGAAAATTCCATAAGATTAGTGACCATTTACATCTATTTACTGACCAATGCAAAACATATACCTGGCACCTGGTACAAGGCACAAAATCAGCACTTGATATTTGCTGGATTACTTTATTCCATAAAGTTGCAAGTGCAGTATCCTGTACCCCCACATCTTCCTCATACAACTTTGACTCACAGCCAACCTTACTTCCTTTATATGCCCTATTTACTCACGAAACTGTATCAACTAAAGTGATTTTTTTTTGGGGGGGGGGATAGGGAATCAAACTCACAATCTCATGCTTGCTGGCAGGTGCTGAGCCATTTCCTTGGCCCTAAAGTAATTTTACTGTTACTATTTATTTATTTAGCGGCAGGGTCTTGCCATGCAGTTCAGTTGGCCTTGGGCTCACTTTGTAGCCCAGGCTGGTCTCAAACTCACAATGGTCTTCATGCTTCAGCTCTTGTGTGCTAGGATTACAGGTATATGCTATCACGCCTGGCTTCTAAAGTGAATTTTAGACAAAATATGAATTCATTGATAACATATATTTAGCTATTTGCAAATCTCCACCAATTAACATATGAATGTATGTATATATGCATACTCATTAGCTTGTTTGTGCAAATCAAGATCCAAATAAAATGCACACATTACAATTAGTTTACATCTCAAGCCTCTCTTACTCTATAATACCTTATTTCATTTTCCACTTCAAAGAAATAGGTCTTACTGAATTTCATGAGGGTTTAAATTTTACAGATTGCATCCCCATGATAGTAACATGCATTTCTATTCCTCATATCTTTAAAATATCTAGACTAGAAATCGGTATCTGATTCCACTTTAGAGTTTTTGGCAAAAATCCGAGGTGGTGATGTCTACTTCCACCCAGAAATATGTAATATTTATATAATAATATAAGTTGTCTCTTTTTCTGTGACGGTGACAACACTGAAAACCCTTGACTCTCCTGGGTTCAAACTGCATTACGGCCAAAGGCACAGGGGAAAATGAAAGAAAGAGCATGAGGTCTTTCTAGTGCACCTTCTTTCTCTCAGCACCAGTCTGAGAGTCCTTCGTGCTACCCAATGTGTCCGCAGAGGAGTTTTTACGGCTGAGCAGTACTGCATCACTGCATCATAAAGGTGTATGTTTAGTTACTTATCCATTCACCAGCTGATGAGCACTGACTGTGTTTCAAGCTTTTCTGTATAAAGCTTCTTCATATGTTTTTGTATGGGCACATCTTTATTTCCTTTTGGACTGCTGCTTAATTTTGTAAGAAAATGCCACACCACATCCCATAGTAGGCCTACTGTTATTTGGCATCCACACCAGCACTGTACAAGTTTCAGTGGCTGCTGACACTTGCCAATGCTTCCTGCTGGGTTGTTTTCCCCCCACTCTAATAAGATGCAAGATGGCATCCATGGTGCATTTCATATGTATTTCCCTAATAACGAAAGTGTAAAGATCTGTTGAAGCTGGAGATTGATCACATGCACAGGGCTAAAGTAAGGCCAGCCCTGAAAACAAGCCAGGTAAACAAGCTGCTCCAGCTCCAGGAAGGCCAGGGGCCCAGGCCAGCCAGGCAAACAAGTTGCTAGCAGAGGAGCTGAAATTGACATCACCCTTCTGAGCATATAAATAAAGGTGCTATGGTGGTTGGCAGTCCCTTTTAGGGCTCCACCTGACCTCAGCTTTGTCTCCTTTCCTTATTTTCAAAGTCTCTCACTGTCCTTTCCCCAAGGAGCATCTGAAGCTGCAATAGTCACTACATTAAAAGTTTTCTTCTAGATTTTACATATGTCTATGATTCGTTTCATGTTAACTTTTATACTTTGAGATATGCATTTACATTTTTGTTTTTTGTTTTTTATACTTCTGCCACTGTTCTAGCACCATTTGTTGACAAAAACTGTCCTTTCTCCATCGAACTGCCTTGGGGCCTCTGTTGAAAATCCACAGTCCACATATACATGGGTCTAATTCCAGACCCTTTCTCTATTGATCTATGTCTCTTTTCTTTTGCCAACACATAATGTACTACAGTCAGAGTGAGTCTTAGAATCAGGTAAAGTTCTCCAACTTTGTTATGCTTTGTCAAAAATTATTTTGGATATTCTAATTTATGTTTATATATAAAACTCCCAGGATTAGTTAAGATTTCTATAAACACCTTCTGGAACTGTGGGTCTGTGCTGACTTTATAATTTGGAGTGAAATGACATCTTAGTCCTGTGTCTCGCACTCCATGAATTTCCACTTATTTAGGTTTTCTGCTATCTTTAATGATGTATAATTTTCAGTATATTAATCTTATATATGTTTTATTAGACTTAGCCCTAAGTACTTAATGTTTTTGTACAGGGTTAGCAATGTTGATATTCTATTGCCTTTATTGTCATGTAGTTATATTTTAGAATACGGTAAGTATCATTAATAAAGTCAAATAAGTATAACTAGAAGACTGGAGTCATTTAGAAACTAATTTCCATTCAAAAACAAGAGTAGTTTCTCACATAATATGGCCTCTCCTCATCTACTCTGTCATGTAGAGACCCAGTTAATATTGTGACATTAGTAGAAAAAGTCCATGTAACTGATGTGAATATCTATAAGATGTATTTCTCTTTAAAAAAAAATTCTAAGTGAAGCAGTTAGCATAAGAATAGTAGGTAATTGGATTTCTGCTTTAATTATAGAATCCAGAACTGGTAATTATATCTTATCCTGTATTATTTGCTTTTCTTCCTAAATGAATTTTCAATAAATATGAATCTTCAGACATAACTATATTTATTTAATCTGTCCTTATTTCAGCTTTTTACATAGTTTTCTGAAGGCAGTACAACAAATTGTACATTTGATAAACACACATGAGGAAAGACGTTCAGAGAGATTCCCAAGAAGACAAGCAAACATACGCTAAACAAACACTGACTTTGGTCTAACTGTAAAAATTCGCCTGCCCCCTCATGCTAGGGATATGGCTCAGCGGCACTGATTCCAGGTACCAAAAAAAAAAAATAGACACACTCTCCAACACTGCAAGCTGCTTTAGTTAAAAAGGGTGTATCTATGGATACGCAAAGAGAAATGCCACATCTAAAATCTACGTGATCTCCAGATTTCCCCATCGTGGCAGTCAGGTTTAAAATGTTAACAAGGCATATCATTTAATCCAGTTTTAACAAAGTTCAGTACAATTTAAGATACTTTAAAATCCCCAAAGTGTATGTGCTAACTGCTTTAGTTAAATTCTGGGCTTCTAGTAAGCAAGTTGAATCTACCATACTTTCTGATACTTCTCAATGAACACATTTTTTACTACATTTTCCCCCGAATACACATGTTACCTCGGAAACAAGAACCAATTTTTAAAATGAGACCCAGTTAGGGGAGAAAGCAAGAAGCACGCTCAGAAGTTTAAAATCCTAAAGCACTGTGCTTCCTCTGAACAGCGCCCAGCATGAGGACAAGTTTGGTATGTACCTTTGAGACACTAACCTTAGAAAAAGACTGCAACCCAAAAAGTCTTTTAACATATTAAAATGTTCTCCTAAACTGCTTGGCAAAAGACAACCAAAATGCAACCTCATATTTATCATTCTCCAGCACTAACTGAGAGTTCTACATAAAGCAGCACTGTAGCATGGAACAGCACTCTCAGGACTACTTACCTGCAACTTTCCAAATTCTAAGACAAAAGATTCTTTTTTCTTTGGTAGTAATTATGGTACAAAACGTCTTGACAGCCGGGCAAAAAGTAAACTCTTGCTCTTTTTTAAATAGCCTCAGGCAACTGCCAGGTTATGAGGTTTACAAAATTCTAAACCCAGGACAGAGTTAGTTGATTACCTAAAAGCCCTGAAACACGCTTATAAATTAAATTTTATAAATTTGCACTTATTTAGGTTTTCTCAAAATGATAACAGCAATAGTTCAACAACAGTAGAATATCAGCTCCCCTCAAATTGGAATGGCATCTCAGATCCTGAGGCTGCCAAAGCATAGCCTGGCTTTAGGAAGAGAAGTCCAAATTCTCTAACATAACCAAGACTTGAATCAGGCAGTCTTTATGGCAGGTAAGCAAAACTACGAGTAATTCATTTATCATTACCTATTTAGTGCCTCTCCAAACTTCTCAGCTGGGCCTTGCATAGTGGTGCACACCTGTAACGCCAGTTACTTAGGAGGCTGAAGCAGGAGGATGGCCCATTTAAAGGCCAGCATGGACAACTTTGCAAACCCTGTTCCAAAACACACTTAAAAGGGGCTGGGGTCAGTGGATGAGCAAGTGCAAGGCCCTGGAGTCTATCCCAGTACAAAAAAAGTCTGAACTGGGAACAAAAAATACAGCAAATTGAAATGGCCTTTTACTAGTCTCAGAGACAGCTAATGATAACCATTTTATTAAAGTGGAGAGGAGAGGAGATTGAAGCAGACCTGTATATGTTTACGTCATGCCTAGTTGTGTTTGATAGACGGGCCAAGCCTTCTACATAGTATATGTGCTGCTGAAGTGAGCATAGAAGGCTTTTACACAAAACACAGAATTATTAAAAGCTGATTTCTAAAATTATAACAAAAAATCCACAAACACATAATCTAAGAATTGCAAAGCCAGAAAAAAACCTTACTAAAACAGAAAATTATTCAAGTATTATTGATTCACCTAAGTTAAAAGCTAGAAAAGTTGTGAGAAACTGTTAATTTATTTGAGAAGGATTTACTGATTTTTCCAATGTGTCGCAAACCCCACATTAGGGATAATATAACTATTTCTCAGATATCTGTTTACTTAGATCTTTCTTGACAACCATTTACTCAAGATTATTAATCACTGAGAAACCCAGACTCCAAATTCAAGATTCCTATCGTGAAGAGACCAGATTTATTCACATAATATTTTTATGAAAAAATAGCAAAAACAATCTGCTAGACTCCTGAAGACTTTATTATATGTACATCAATTTAATTTGCATTTCAGGTCTACACTGCTTTACCTGTTCACTTTTTCCATACTATCTACCATTAGGCATTCCCTAAAGGACTGGACTATATTTAGTCATTTTAATTATTTATATTACCAAAATAATGAAGCCAAGGCTATGTAAAGGTTTAATCTTCACAAGAAACTAGCTATTTGTCATTTTGTACACTTAAAAGCAAACAAATGATCTATACAAATCTGCCTTCCCAAAACAGTCTTACAAAGTAAAAGCACACGGTTTGTGTCAGACCCAGCATCTTCATAACTGACAAAGCACATAAAGTATTCATCTCCATAGCTAGCTGGGGAACTTAATATTAGAACAGCAAAGTCTCATAATACAACTGGGATACTTCTCAATGAACTGAAGGTTGAACCTTGATAGAAGCCCTCCTTTCAATTATCTGAAGTTACAAGTTAGCAAAACAAAAAATATCACACATGTGAATTTTCATTCCCAGGCGTGCTCACCCACAAAGGCTAGTATTTCACATTGACAACCTACTGGACTTTGTTTCCACTTTCGGCAAACAGGGTCTGACTCAAACTACTGGTCTGTCCCAGTGGAATAAATCCAATGGGGATCTTACTGAAGGTAGCCTGTGGAAAGAAAGAGAGGAAAGTTTGATTGTTAGAGTTAGAAACTAGACTTAACAAAGACACATAGTGGACACATATGACAGAGTAACTGACTGGCCCGCCTGCCTGCGTCACCTCCCCGTATCTGTAGGCCAGTAATTAAATGCTATTAAGTCAGCAGTTTCTAAAATGAAGCTGTCAAGAAACCAAGACAAAGTAGAATTTGGAAGAAATGTGTGTGCTCTCATCAAGAACAACAGAAAGAAATCTGTTTAGGGTAAGGAGGGTCTTATGAATAGATACTGGATCATGAGCTAGTGTGACACAGACTATTACATTATCAAGCTGTTTTTAAAAGTTGCAGATAAAATTCAAGTAACAATGTCTACCATTTGAACAAGTGTCCAATGACAAGTGAAAGTATTTTACCAATTATCTCAAGTATAAATAAAGCAAAGAGAACAAAAACATTCAAGTAGCAGAAGGATATGGCATAGCAGTTGATTTAATTAAATGCCACAAATGCAATAGGCACTTTAAGGTTCTTAAATACCAGTTTGAGCACAAACTACTATTACCAAGGGAGTGAGATTTTGGTTTTAGTTATATTTTAAACTATTATAGATAAAGACATTAATATTACAAGCACCCATGAGCTCTTGACTCAGATTTAACAAGTGTTCACATGTGCCATTTTGTTTCAGATGTTTTGAGCCATAAAATGACCAATGAAGCCCTTTCTGGTTCTTTTCTTGTGTCTCTTTCCAGAGAAATCATCATCTTGTGGTAGGTGATTCCTTTGCATTCACGTTATTATTCCTCTTCTGACATATATAAATAGCCACCAATATGGAGTACCATTTTCTAAGTTTTAAAACTGAGTTTTCATACTTCATTCATATATCATACTTTGTCAAAATATCTTTTTAGTCAATATTTTTGAGATGTAAATATGCAGGTTTTATAGGTCTAGTTCATTCATTTAACTGTTGCCTGGCTCTCACTATATGAACATATCACAATGTTTTGAAGAAAAGATTCTATAGGAAAATTTTATATTTTAAACAACTGTTAGTAACACCTGTTGGCTACTCTGGGTTATCAATGCAGAAAGCCCACCATGGGTTACTGAGAGAAAAACAACAATGCTGTCTTTTCTAGAATTAATCTACTCACAATTTGTTCCCATTTTAAAATTTAACATGGAGAAGAAGAAAAAAAGATAAAAGAGCAATAAAAACAGAAAAGTAAAGGTAAAATGCAATTTCTCTTAAAAGTTTACCTCATCTGTTCTTCGAAGAACGCCAGTAACAACCTATGAAAAGAAAATTATTATAAGCAACATGTATTTCCCTTAACACAAAAGCATTGGATTCATTTTTCACGGACCATAAACTTATTCCTATGTTTTCCCTAGGCACTATGTTAAGTGATATATTGGCTCTTAAAATACAATATTCTAAAATATGATCAGAGTTAAATTACATTTTATTCTTGACTTAGGATCAATAATATAATAAATGCTAAGATTATAAAAACACATTAGTAAAATATTTTAAGAACTTAGGTTCAGTGATGTTTTAAGTTCTATATAAATGTAATGTACACACCAAATATATGAAAGGGCCTAGTTTACTACTATGAAGTATGAGTACAAGGAAAAACACTGTATTACACTCAAAATTCTGCACTGTATATTCCTTACTGAGAAATATAAAGACAAGGGGGATAGTCGTATCCCCATAAAATTATAAAAAATACAAGAAACAACAATTTCTGATAATTCACTTATACTGGATAATGAATATTAATCACATGTTCAAATTTGAGTTATTAATGTGTTTTAGAGCCAAAATGTTTCACAGAAGTCTCAAATACAGAGGTGGGGTTGTTTGGAAGTGGCAAATCACTGAGACAGGATGGGAGCATGGGGTCTCATCTCCAGCATCTCCCTTTTCTTCTTCCTGGCCACATGCAGTAAACAGTTTCCCTCCACCATGCTGTCTGGACATGCCACCATCCCACCAAGAACTGAACCCATGGAAAATATGAGGCAAAATAAACTTCTCTTCCTGCAAGTTGGGTGTGTTGGCTCGTTTGTCCCAGCAGCAGGTGAGCTTATGAATATAGGTATATTCCCCATGGATTCCTTCTTTGACCAATGCCTGTTTAGTATGTTTGTGATTATACCAAATACAGAATTTATCGTCTTTCCCTAAAACTATTTTATAAACCCAGGACTGACACAAATCTCCTCATTCCACCTTCTGCTTCACTGAATCTTTGGACTATATGAGTCTGTTAAGTGGTCTACTCCATTCTTTCACACCATCAGTGCACTTCATTAAAAAGTTATAAAAATAACTGCAATATCATTACTGTAATCTTTTTTAAAGACGCGTACAAAGGCGCATGTTGGTGCCAAGCCCTAGGACAGCCACATCTGTGTTACCTTCTGGTTCTTGCACACTGACGAGGCTTTCCCACCATGGAAAGAGATGAAGATGACCAGCAGCAAGGCGAGGACATGAAACCGAGTGTATTACCCCACACTTGAGCATCAGGCACCATCTCTGACCTGGAGCTCTTTACTGACCTACCCTGCTTCCTGGGAGGAGGAAGAGTACTTGCAGGACAACATCCCTGTGGTACTTATTGGCCCCCAGTAAGCAGGAAGTATATATCACTTGCTAAAATTATTAAGTTATCTTAAGAGCAGTTTTAGATTAATGGCAAAATTGTGAAAAGGTACATTAATTTCCCATGTAATACGTGCCCTTCCCATCTCATTTTAACATCTCCCATCAGGATGGTATGTTTGTTACAAATGATGAACACATGCCAAAATGACACCATTACTGTATTGTTTAGAGAAGTTTTGCTGCTCTAAAAATCCTGTATAAGGACAAGTCAAGAACCCAAAGAGAGAAAATTAGAAGCCAAAAACTGGAAATCTCTGAAATGATTGCAGCAGAAATAAAAAAACAAATGGAAGAGGTGGTAGAAAAAATAATCACTAAGGTGCAAAAAGAAATGACTATCAAAATAAGACATTAAAGCAGACACAGATAAACAAATACAGGAGCTCAGGAAAATGATGGAAACCATGAATGTCAAACATAGACAAGAAATGGAACCAATGAAACAGATCCACACAGAGATGCAGGAGACTAGAAACTCCATCGAAAGTCTACACAGCAGATTGTACGGAGGTGAGGACAATATCAGATCTAGAAAACAGGAAAGTGACTAACAGGGAAAAAGATATCTTAAAAATTGCAAGTGATCATAAAAAACCAATCCAACAGCTGCAGCATAAAGCAAAGAACAACAACAAAAGACTCACTGGAATCAGTGGGAAAGTTGGAGATAGCACAAAAGCCATTAAAAACCTCTTCACAGAAATAATGGCAGAAAACTTCCCAAACATGGATAAAGAATTTGACATACAACCTAGGATTAGAGGTCCCATTCAAACTAACTGTTCCCCTTCTGAGTGTTTTCTGAGAAGAATTAAAAATATCATACCACAGCAATATATGCACACTCATGTTTATAGAGGCAAAATTTGTAATAGCTAAATCTTAGAAACAACCCAAATACTCATCAACTGAGGAAAGGATAAAAAAGATATTTTTTATATGGAGTACTACAGAGCCATAAAGAAGGATAAATTGGAGGCTCTTATAGGCAAATGGATTCAACTCGAGACCATACTCATAAGTGAAATAAATCAGACCCATATATATAAACATTGTATTGTCTCACTTGTGTGAGAATTGAACTAGTAAATAAGATCCAAAATGTACAATGCCAATAAGCTCAACAGAATGAATTCCCCAGGCAATGTAAGCAATTCAAGACAAGAAAAAGAAAATGCATTAACAGCAGGAAATAATTTAATGACAAGAATAAGTATCTATCAGTTATAACATCAATGTAAATGGTCTCAACTCAAAAATCAAAAGAGACAGATTACCAGAATCAATCAAGAACCAAAACCCAACAATACACTGCATACAAGAAACACATATAACCCAGAAAGAAATTCACAGAATGAAAGTCAAAGGATGGAAAACAGTACTTCATGTAACAGGAATTCAGAAAAAAGCAAGAATAGCTATTCTAATTGCAGACAAAGTAGATTTCAAGCCAAGATTAAGATGAGACAAAGATCACTACAATATTGGTTAAGAGAATAATGCAACATAAAAATCATAAATACATAAGCATCTAAAATCTAATTTTAATTTTTCTTAACTTCGAAATGGCTTCAAAAAAAAAAAATCCTACCTCCTGTAGGGTCCCATCGCCTCCGGCAACAATGATCATATCTGTGCTTTCCATCAGCTCTAGGAGTTTCTTTGCTTGTCCCTCATAATCTGTCTGAAATACAAAGGAAGCTTGGTAAATTTACTATCCTAGGATCACAGGAACAAAGATCAAATGTATGCAATATTTTCTTTAAATACTTTTTTTTACATAGATTCTCTTTCAATTTTACATAATAGAAATGGGGGGGAGGAAACAAGCTACAAAATCAATTATGAATAGTTTGGTTCATCAATCAACATTTAAACCATACTAATGCAGGAAACTGTGGGCAAGGTGAGAGGGAGATACAGGTACTCTGTACTTTGTTGAGTTTCCCCTTAAACTTAGAATTGCTATAAAAATAAAAAATCTACTAATGTTTTTAAGTGGCCTAATGGTACCACTTAAGACACAGAAACTCTGCAGGACATCCATGAGGACAGTGTCACTCAAAAGCATGCCACATTCACAATAAGAAACGTGTGGTCTTGGGATGCTTAAAAGAATAAGATCTAGCACAAGATTTGCTAGTCCTGCTTTACTTTTCCCTCAGGAGACCACACCTGCAGTGGGCACACTTTCAGAGTATAGAAAAGTGAAAAACGTCTACATCATGGGGTGGCAAATCAATGACACACATGCTATAGCTGGCTGTTTGTCATCACTGAAAGCTCTAACAGGTTCGCCATCACTGATCTAAGTAATCAGGAAGGTAATGGGTGTCCTTTGTGAAGAGATGGGAAATGTTTATACTATAGAAGGGATAAGGGAGGACAGTCATGGAAACATTCTTCACTGACCCAAAGACTATCATGCAGAAGGATTGGGCTTCTTTCACATGAACCCATGGAGTACAACTAGGGCCTAGGTCAATGATTCTCAGTATTGCTACACATTGTAATCACCTGTGAGTGGGTGGATGGGTGAACTGATTTCTTATTTATAAATATAAAAACACAGACCCTATTCAATGTCAGTTATACCTGAGGAGTGAGACTCAATTACATTTTAAAATTCTCTAGGTAAATATTAGGTTAATATTCAACAAATTGAGAACCATGGACCTGTGTGAAGAATTAAGAAAAGAAAAGCTTTCTACTCAAAATAAAATAAGAATCTCCTAATAGCACTGTCCTAAGATAAACAGAATGTCTCAAACAGTAGCAGATTTCACATCAAGTGGAGGCAGAGTAGATGCAGGAAGCACTGGTTTTAGGCTTATACCCCACCTCTGTTGTATAACTATGCAGGTTTGCATTCTGTTTCCTCATTCATAAAGAGAACACCTAACTTCACCAAGCTTTATGTGATTCAAATGAATTCATCTACATGAAATGCTACAATGTTACACTCCAGCAGAATAATAAATGAGGTGCTCTGCCATTGAAAACTAAAGATACAGAGTAAAATAATACAAATATCTTTGCTATATCAATATGCTAGAATACAGTACACAATACTGAACTCAAAACAGCACCTAAACAGTAAATATTTTCAGAGCATTTAGTGAAACAGATGGATCTGAGAGCCGATTTTGTGGCTTCAACAAGATATAGGGAAAGAAGACAATTCCAGAATCTGTTAAATGCTGGTAAGTCTAACTGAAAACCACACCTTGCCATAAACCAGGACCCAAACTGAAATTATTTCAAAATAAATGTTAACTTTTTTGTCTTTTTTTTTTTTGTCTTTTTTTGAGACAGGGTCTCCCGTTATGCAGTTCAGGCTGGCCTTGAGCTCACTTTGTAGCCCAGGCTGGTCTCAAACTCGCAATGATCCTCCTGGCTCAGCCTCCCGAGTGCTGGGATTACATCATGTGCCACCACGCCTGACTAAAATAAATGTTAACTTTTCAAGATGGCCAATAAAACCTATAAAGTAGCAGGATTCAATATAAGAAAACATTAGTTGTTTTGGTTTTGTTTTGTTTTGGTACTGGAGATCAAACTCTTGACCTCATGCTTGCCAGGCAGGTGCTTATGCTATTGAACTAAACCCCAGCCCTAACATTAGTATTTCTATTTCTATTAATTTTTACATCTCATCTTTTTTAATTTCTACTTCCTGAGTACTTAAGGCACATATTATAATGTATTTTTATGTACTGCTAATTATCAAATTGGAAAAAATATAATCAAAAAACATTTGAACATAGGCTAGGTAATTCAAGATGATTATTAGAGAATTGTTACTTTTGCTGGGTATGAAAATGCTGTAGTTACATAGAAAAAGATCTGTGTTTGCGAAAACATTTAGACTCTGAAGTATTTAGGGGTAAAATGAGATGGTTTCTGTTACTTATTTCAAAGAACCAAGCGACTATGCAAGGATGTACAGAAGACACAAACTGGCCTCATCATAGCCATTATCAACCTACAGACACACAAGAAAGGCTATGTGAGCCAGACCTCTGAGGAGCCCAGGCAAAACAAGAGCATCTTTTAACACAGACTGCTGATTAAATAGGATTATAATCAGAAAAAACAGTGGCTGAGCCAATTTTTTATGTAGCAACAGATAACTGGTGTAGAAATAAACTTAAATATATCAACAATTACAGTAAATGTTTATGGATTAAGCAATTCCTCAAACCCATGGACGGGTCTCTAACACATCCTGTTTTTGTGCCTGTAGCAATGCCTTTAAAATAGTGAATTTATATTGAATACTTTTTTATCATGATGCAATTAAGTCAGAAATCATGAACAAAATGATAACTTGAAAAGTTTTAAATATGGATATTAAAATATGTCTAAATATCTCATGGGTCAAGCATTGATTGAAATTGGAAAATATCAAGAATGAATTACAACGAAACTACTGTCTGTGAAAAGTTATAGTACATAAGTTAAGCAACAGAGTAAACTTTATAGCTTTAAATATATGCAGTAGGAAAGGTAAAAATTACTGAAACATGAACTGTGATCATGGAATATAGTGAAAAGTTTAAATAAAATTTGAAGAAAATTTATTACAGTAAATGCACTGCCATTAATCCTCCTCAAAATAGAGAAGCAGCTCTCTAAGTCCTCTTTCATGTTTTTCAGTGGCTGCCTTGATGTTCTGAATCAATTTATAAGGTTTACAATAATTTTTATCAAATAAAAACATTAAAATGTGTCCTCATCCACTTTAGATCTGTATAACGTCTGGCTCATCCCCAGGGTCAAAATGACCATGCAGGGTAAATGTTCCAAAACTATTCAGGGTATCAAGGCAGCCACAATCATACAGTAACAGACACTCATGAAAGAGGACTGCCAGAACTGCTTCAGAAAGTGGCAAGAATGATGGGGTACATGTGTTTACAGAAACTTACAGGAGTACTTCCAGGGGAATTAATGGCAATGTGTCTTTTACTGCAATTTTTTTAAATTTAAAAATTCACTGTATTTTTAATCAAATTTCATAAGTATTGAATTAAAAAACAAGAACAGGAAAAGAATGAAGTAGAATGAAAGAAATAATAAAACACACAATAATTGAATGACAAAAATAGGTAAGATGAATAAGCCAATAAACTATTCTTGACAAACAAGACCACCCAGAGAAAAAGAGGGGACAAATATACAATATTAAGAATGAGAAAGGAGCAGGCATGATGGTATAGACTTGTAATCCTAGCACTCAGAGGCTGAGGCAGGTGGACGGAGAGTTTGATAAAGTAAAAATTTCATTTGTTTCATTAAGTTTTTAATTAGATGACATCATGATTTTCATAATATCTTCTTTTTAACTTTTAAATTTCTTATAGTAAGGCCAGCTCAGTGGCACAGCACCTGTCTGGCAAACTGAATGCATACTCACATATATAACACTTAAAACTCAACAAAGTAGAGACTTAAGACATCTTCTGATTTAGCACAATTCCATTTAACTTTTTTGTCACTTTTCAGGGGGCAAGCAACTCATGAGCTTGCACTTGCCAGGCAGGCTTGTACCACTTATTCATATCCCTGGTCCTCCTTTTTTCTTAACTAAACACAAATTCTAAAGGTTTATTGTTTAAAGTTCCTCACCAGAGAACTGATTACCAGAGAGAAGAAGGTTTACTTGTATGTAAAATTACCAAGAAATTAAATTACTCAAATTTGAGAGTTTCATATTTTTTAGGAAAAGAATTCTAATGCTTTTATCCTTCAACAGATAGTTTTATTTATCTCTCAGATAAAAGGTATCAAGGTCTCCATGCCTCCATCTAATCCTGTTCTGAAAATGAAAACTAAACAATGTCATAACAAAACTACTTGTATTAATTGTCAAAACAAGACATAACACTGAATTCTTTGCTCATAAGTGGCAAGTAATTCTCGCTAAGAAATCAAGAGCAGAGGATACGGTAGAGTGGGTGAGGGAGAAGCTTGAGTAAAATAAAATGTACACTCCAAAGCCCTTCTTACCTTAACAATAGTCACATCCATGCCAGATAAATGTAAAATTGGGGCAGCATTTTTTTCAAACAGAGTCCTAGCTTTGCTGTCGACAAAGAGAAAAAAAATACATGTATTTTAATACAAGTTCTTGAGAATTAAATTACAATTTTCTCTAGAACAAGACTGTGGAGCACAGGTTTCCTTTATTTGTGCAACTACAAGAGGTTTACACTGAGTAATGAGTTCCTATAGGTAGGAAACCAGTTTGATCTGGAATGCTTACAGCTCTCACTTGTGCTCCTCTGGAGAAGCAGAAACAGCAGATATGACTCTGCTCAAGATAACAACGCCTGACTCCTTCAGCTGAGCACCTACTGAGCGACAGACACAGTGGAGGAGCTGAGACTACAACGTGACACAGCAGACGAGCCTGCGTGTCCTCATGGAAATCACTTGTACTCACAGCATATATTCTGGTATTCTAGTGGAAGGCAAGGAGTGGATTTACTATAACATTATTCATGTGGTCCAAAGGAACAGACTTAACACAAACTATTACTTAAATCTAGCTCAGTGAATACAACTGTTTGGAAAGAAGTACAATATTTTTGACAATTTCAAGTACTAGAAGTATCTTCATATCTTAAAATATCATCATAATGAAATCTCTGGAAACTGAGCAAAAATGTTTTTCATTACTTCTGCTAGAAAAGGGAAGCAATCAAAATTATCTAATGTAACTGTGGGATAATTATGTCAAAAACCGGTCCAAACATCCAGGCACAGTCGATCTTATCTGTGTTTCCCTAGCACCTTATATCCTCTTCTGTAGCTTTTACAATGTTTGAAAATTAAAGATATTGTGATGGTGAGGCTTAATTGTCAACCTGAGTAGACTAAGACTCTGTAGAGTGTCATGGGTCATAGGAGCACTATACACATGGTGAAATCAATCTGCTGGTATTCACAGGTAAGTGTGCCGTCAGGAGGTGGGTCACTCAGGGGGTGCCTTCGAAGGATGGGCCTCTCTCTGGTGCTCTTCCCCTTGCTCTGCTTCCTATCTGCTGTGAAGTGAGCAGATCTGCTCCACCACAATCTTCCACCATGATGTTTGTGCCTTGGAATTGGCTGACCATGGACTGAAACCTCTGAGCCAAATAAAACTCTCATCATGTAAATTGTAGGTGTGAGATATTTTGTCTCAGAAATGGGAAAATTGGCTAATAGAGATATCCAAGACCATCTTTAGGACTCAACCAAAAGCTCTGCAAAGATACCAACTCTTATTAATCCTCAATGTATGGCATACTACAAAGGTACTAGTATGTGGTGAATTAATGCATAAATGAATGATTAAACCTGTCCCAAATGTAGGCACATAAATTCTAAGGAATAGAGAATAGCATGATGGCAATGTCTTATAAGATGTAAGTTTTATAAAAGAAATTGTTCAATAGCCTTTGAGTGAGTTTTTGTATTTTAAAAGTGTCGTACATCTGAATCCAATAGTGAACTCTTAATCCAATTCAGGTCAGGATTCAAAGCAGTCTAGGTATTAAGGGTTACAGACACTGTAAAAAGTGAAGATGAAATGGGAAGGGGCATGTGGGATCCATTGTAACTGTAGATTTCACTTTCAGTGTTCAGTTTAACAAATATGTATAGGCATAAAATTACCACGGCAATCAAGACACAAAACATTTTTTCATTCTAAAGATTTCCTCATATCTGTCTACAATCAAGATTGTGCTTTCACACCCTATACCTGGAAACCACTCATCTATTTTCTTTTTTTTTTTTTTCTTGCATCAGGAATAAAGACCTCTCATCTACTTAATATTGCTGTTGTTTTGCATCTTCTACAGTTCCACATATATTGGAATCATATCTTTATTTAAGAGAAAAGAAAGCAAAAAAAAAAGCAAAAGAGACCAACAACACAAACCCAAAACAGTAATATAGGCTTTCAAAACAAAATGATAGGAATTTCACAATGATTGTTATATTGCATATTGTTATCTTCAAACGGGTTGCATTACCAGACATACATATGCAAAACTGATGAAATCGTATTAACTATCTTTTTCCAAGAACTAATAAAGTTAGTAGTATAGTCATCTTGGCTATTGTATATATACAGATACAAATTTTATATCTTTTTCCTTTTCTCTTCCTTCTTTCCTCCTTTCCCCTATCCCAGTTACTTTTCCCCTTTGAGCAGTTTCTTACCCTTAACACAATATTTATTATAGATTTTGGACCTTATTTGCTCTTTCAGCTTCTTACACTAGGGAGACAATGTAGTATGTACATGTGAGTTTTATTTATTTCACTTACTTGTATGATATCAAGTTGCATCCACTAACCTATAACAGCCTTGATGCAATATGTTTTTATGGCTGAGTAGTACTACATTGTAAAAATACCACATCTTTTTTATGGATTTCTCAGTTGATGGGCATTTCAGTTGTTTCCAAGATTTGGCTATTACAAATTGTGCTGTTATAAACATGGGTGCACATATATCACTGTGGTATGATATTTTCAGTTCTTCCGGGAAAATGTCCAGAAGTGGGATAGCCAGGTCTAGTGGAACTTCTAAGCCTAGCTTTTTGAGACACCTCCATACTGATTTCCATACTGGTTACACCAGTCTACACTCCCACCAACAGTGGAGAAGAGTTCCTTTTTCCCTACAGCCCCTCCAGCATTTGTTATTTGTTGATTTCTTGATTTGGGCCATTCTTTCTGGAGTGAGATGGAATCTCAGTGTTGTTTTAATTTACATTTTTCTTATGAACAATGATGCTGAACATTTTTTCATATATTTATTTGCTATTGTATTTCCTCATCTGAGATGTATTCCTCTTAGATGCCCATTTATGGACTGGTCTTTGAATTCTGGGGGTCTGATTTATTTAAATTCTTTATATGTTCTAGATAGAAGTGCTTTTTCTGAGGGACAGTTGGCTGAGATATTTTCCTAATTCATGGGTTTTCTTTTCACACTGTTGGAAATTTCTTTTGACATGCAAAAACTTTTTTAATAAGACAAGATCCCAGTTGTTGATTCTGAGAAGCATTTCCTATGCAGTTTGATTTTTGTTCATGAACTCTCTACCTACCCCTACGTTGTCAAGATTTCTACCCTCTTTGTCTTCCAGAATATTTAGTGTTTCTGTTTTAATATTTAGATGTTTGACTCATTTTGACTTGAGTTTGGTGCATGGTGATGGACATGGGTCTAGTTTTAGTTTTTGACGTATAGAGAGCCAATTTTCCACCACCGTTTATTAAAGAGGCCATCTTTCTTCCAGTGAACATATTCAGCCCCGTTGTTGAAGATAAGGCAGCTGAGTGGGTATGTAGTTGGTATGGCTGTATCTTCTAATCTATTCCAATGATCTTGAGGTCTGTTTTTATGCCAGTACCATGCTGACTCTACCACAGTAACTTTGTAGTATAATTTCAAGGGATTGGGAGGCCTGCCTTTGCCTTTATTATCCAGAATTTCCTTTGCTATTCTAGGTCTCTTCTCATTCCAGATGAATTTTAAGAATGATTTCTCTGTATCTGTGAAGTATGCTAATGGTATTTTGATTGGAATTGCATTAAATATATATAACAATTTTGGGAGGATGGCCATTTTCACAATGTCTGTTCTTCCTATCCATGAACAAGGAATATCTTTCCATTTTCTGGAAAAAAAAAATCTTTTTTGATTTTTTTTCAGAGTATTGTAATTTTCAATGTATAGATCTTTTAGTGCATTAGACTGATTCCTAAGTATTTCTTTCTCTTTTTTTGGATGCTATAGTGAAGGGTTTGTTTTCCCTTATTTATCTCAGTGAGTTTGTTTGTGTACAGGAATGCTATGACTTGTGTTGACTTTGTATCGGGCTATATTACCGAATTTGGTTATTATATCTAGAAGTCTTTCAATGGAGTTTTGGGGTCTTCTATGTAGAGCACCATGTCATCTACCAACAAGGATAATTTAACTTCTTCCTTTCCTATTCTTATTCCTTTTTTCTCTTGTCTAATTGCTGATTAATGTTTCCAGAATTACACTGAATGGGAGTGGTGATAATGGACATCTTTGTCATGTTCCTGATTTTAAACCAAAAGCTTTTAGTTTTTGTCCATTTAGTAAAATGTTGGCTACTGGTTTATTGTATATGTATTTTATCAGATTGAGGTAAAGCCATCTATTCAGATTTTCTGTAGGGTTTTTATCACGAATGAGTATTGGATTTGTCAAAAGCTTTTTCTGTATCTATTGAGATGATCAAGTGTTTGTCTCTGGATATATTTATATGATGTATTATTCTTATTGCTTTACATATGTTAAACTACCTCTGCAGTCTTGGGATGAAGTCCACTTAATCATGGTGTATAATCTTCCTGATGATTTGCTGCACTCTGTTTGTCAGTATTTTATTGAGGATTTCTGCATCTGTGTTTATTAAGGAGATTGGCCTGTAATTCTCTTTTTTGTCTAAGTCTTCCTCTGGTTTTGGTACTAGGATAATATTTGCTTCCAGGAATGAGTTAAGGAGACTTGCTCCCCTTTCAGTTTCATTGAAGAGGTTGAGGAGTGTTGGCATTAAGTCTTCCCTGAATTTCTCATAGAATTCAGCAGTGAATCCATCAGAACCTGGGCTTTTCTTTGCTAATAAGGTTCTAGTTATGTTTTTAAGTTTATTAACAGAAATTATGTTGTTCTGCAGTTTTATATCTTCTTAACCAAGATTTGATAATTCATGTTTCTAAGAATTTCATCTGTGTTATCAAACCTGTAAGAGTAACTTTTTTCCAAGTAAGTACTGATCTTCTGTATTTCCACAGGGTTGTAGTGATTTTGCCCTTTTCATGTCTTATTGTGTGGATTTGAGTTTTTCTTTCCTTTTTGTGATAAGGTTGGCTATGGGTTTATCAATTTTATTTATTCTTTCAAAGACCAACTCTTTGATTCATTAAGTCTTTGTACTGTTTTCTTGGTTTCAATTGATTTCTGCTCTGATCTTTATAATCTTCTCCTTTCTTTGGGCTTGACTTGCTCTTTTTTCTAAAAGTTTGAGGAGAAGCATTAAGTTTTTATTT